TTGTGAGGATGATGCATTGGGTCTCTGTGAGTTGGAACTGACACGCTGGCACTTAAAACCAAAACAGCAACAACAATAATATGCTTCTTGATTTCTGGGTTGTTACTTACATGGGCATTGTGTGTTAATACAAGAAGGAAACCCTTCACAACTTCAATTTATTTACTGTTACCTGTTTCTCAGATTGTATGTATAGTATAAATACATACGTAGTATGTGTATATATTCAAACCTTGTATTCATATGTCATACAGATACATAGTTATTCATACATACTTACTCATACTATGTATGAATAACTAAGGTGAACTAATGCAACCATGCCACACACTTTTCCAATGATAAGCCATGCAATTCTCCCTTGTTCTCTCTTAATGATTGCCACTTGATCCATGCATAAATTCCATATGAACACAATTAAGTGTTCTAGAATTATCTTTTTTTGCAATTCTATCCATAATTTCTTAGAATCCACCCAGTCAAATGCCTTCCATAGTTGATAAAACATTATTTTCTCTGTTTTCAGCCAATGTCCAACTGACATTAGCAATGATAGTCCTTGTCCACATCCTTTCCCGCACTTATCATGAATTTCTGATAATTCCCTGTCATTTTAATCCTTAGCAAAGTTTTGTTATTATGTGATATTAATCATATTGTTGGAAAATTTCCACACTTTTAATCTTTCTTTGGAATGGGCATACATGAAGATATCTTAAAAATTTCTTGACATAGGCAAGTCAACATTTTAACATTAAACATTACCTGTGTTTGTTGAGGCATCTTACTTTTGTTGTTGTTCATTGAACTTTAACTTATAATTGAAATAAGATTGCTTATTTATCTTCTTTATCTTCAAACAAGGAAGAATGAATGTGTAATGGATATTTTTAAAATGAACAATCTAATTTAAATATTGTCAAGATCTAAAGAGAATACTTTCAAAGTAAGATATAGATGCTTAATCCATTATGCCATTCCATCTGGAGTTGTTACTTTTTAAAAATTTTAATAAATCATTTTATTGGGGGCTGAGGCATCTTATTTGATCTTCTGTGAATTCCCATAGCCTTTATATGTATTTTGCCAACGACTTCAGTGCAGCTTGTATGCCTTTCTTCAGTATCAGCGGTTCCCGATCATATGTTACCTCCTGAAACGACTCAGTGTTGACCTGTTCTTTGTGTGGTACAATGATTCTGTGCTCTTTACATCATCTTTGTGTCACTTTTCCCCCATAAAATTCTTCAGTATTTCAATTCATAGCATGGATTTCTCTCTTCAGTTTTTTAATTTGAGAATTGCAGATTCTGTTTTTTCACTCCATATTTTTGTACATTTCATTATAATACTCTACATTGTGATCTTACATCTGAGCCCTGGTGGCACTGTGCATTAGGTGTTGGGCTGCTAACTGCAAGGTTTGACAAGGGAAACAGATGGGGCTTTCTGCTTCTGTCTCAGTAAAATTCGCAAGCTTGGAAACCCTATATTAGATCTCTATATAGAATTTTCTCTAATTGGATCTCTCTAATGAGTCAGAATCAGCTTCATGGCTGTGGATTTGGTGTCTTCTTAAGCTGCCCTTTGAAATTATTTATTCAGTTCTTATGCTTCATGTTTCTTTGATTTATTTTAGCAACTGTGCACTCAGAATGACATTTTAGTCTCTTCTTAAGTTCATTTTGCCCTTATCTTTCATGCCTGCTTTCTAAAAATGACTTTTAATTTCTTCATGTATGATGTTCTTCCACAAAAACGTCTGGTCTTCAAGTCATTATTGTTAATTGCATCAAACCTACTCTTGAGATGTTTTGTAAATGTAGTGGGATGTACTTAAGGTTGCACTTTGGCTCTGGTGGACTGGCTTTGACTTTTTTTAATCATCAGCATAAGTTTGCATATGAGAGAGGGGGAAAATGAGCTGATAACAAGGGCTCAAGTAGAAAGAAAATGTTTTGAAAATGATGATGGCAGCATATGTACAAATGTGCTTGACACAGTGGATGAATGGATAGATTATGATAGATGTAAGAGCACCCAATAAAAATATTTAATAAAAAAAGAAAAGAAAGAAAAAGTGATGCTCACTTTTGTAGTCAGTAACTGGTTTTGTCTTTTTTTAAAAAACATTTTATTAGGAGCTCTTACAGATATTATTACAAGCCATAGTTCAGTTAGATCAAGCTTAGTTGTATAATTGCTGTCACGATCAATTTCAATACATTTTCTTTCTTCTTGAACTCCTTGATTCAGTTCCCATTGTTTCCTCCCTCCCTCACCCTACCACCTCCCCTGAAACCTTAATATATTTGTTACTAATGTTTTTTGTTATCTTGCCATAGCTTACACATCCCATGTATCCATTTCCCTAAAATTCTGATGTTCCTTCCCTTAGAGTGGGATTATCCGGTCATTGTTGCTATCAGTTCCCTGTCCCCACCCTGCCTTCTCTTATCCTCAGGGAGTTATTACTCCCCTTACTGTTTCTGAGGGTTTTTTTTTTTTAAATCATTATACTGGGGGCTCGTACAACTCTTATCAAAAGCCATACTTACATCCATTGTGTCAAGCACATTTGTACATTTGTTGCCCTCATAATTCTCAAAACATTCTCTCGTATAGGCTCCTCCCAAGGGGATGGACAATAGAGAAGAGGGTGGGGGAGACGTCGGACAGTGTAACTTATGACAAAACAACAATGATATGTGAGTTATGGAGGGTTCATGAGGGATGGGTATGTGGGGAGGGAGGGGGAAAATGAGCAGCTGATATTAGGGGCTAGAGTAGAAGGCAAATGTTTTGAGAATGATCAGGGCACATCACAGCTTCCAGTATCATAGAAACTTGCAATCCACCACAGCAAATATTTTATCTAGTTATTTATTATCTGGCTTTTACTTCTTATTAAGCTCTTCCTTCTTTTTACCAGGTAACTGAACCATGAGAGAGACAAGTATTTGTGTACGAATGTATTTCTCAGGCCTGTACCCAAATATATACATAAAACCTGGGCATTATTAAAAAAAGACTATTTGAATGTCCAAAGCTGTTTGGTAAGCTTAAATTGCCAATGCATGGGACTACTAGTGGCATCTATGTCTTGTCACTAGCTTCTCTTACAAATATTTGCATCAGTGGTTTTTAAGTAATAAGAACATTTTGGACATAATTTGAGCAAAGCTGCTCAAGTACATTGGATCATCTTGGAGAGCTATTCACATACATATATTGATGTCAGTAACCCATAGCCAGAATAATGACTTCATTGGTGTGGGGTAGGACCTAGGTACCAGTATGTTGGTTTAAGTTCCCTATGTAATTCCATGGTTTAACCATGGTTAAAAACTATGGATATACAATCTATTAACAATATTGCAAATAGCGTCTATATAAATTATTTTATATGTTCTATAAATGCTTCACATTTGTGGACTCCATCTTTGCCTCTTAAATTAATTTACATTTAAAAAAATTGTAAGTAAAGTAGTTTCTCCTTACCCAATATTTTATTTTCTGAGATTTTAGTTACCTGTGATTGGCCAACTAAAATACTAATAAGAAATTTCAGTTACAATTAATTCATAAATTCTAATTGCCTGACATTTTAAGTTATTCTATGAAATTTCATTCCATCTTGCTCTGTCCCATCTGTGATGTGAATCATCCCTTTGTCAGAGTAAACACACTTTTTATGGTACTTTCATTTAGTTACTTAGTAGCCAACTACATTGTTAGACCCTGTGCTGTGCGACTGCAGTGCTTCTGTTCAAGTAATCCATACTTAATTATTGTTCTATTCTATGATTAGTTATTATTGTACCTTATCGTCATTTTACGGTGTTCAATTTATTATCTTTATTATTTATTATTCTTATTGCTGTGCCTTATAGTTATCTTACTATGCCTAATTTATCAATTAAAGTTTATCAGAGGTCTGTATGCATAGGGAAAAACATAGTCAAAATATGTGGAGTTTGGTACAGGCATCCATTGTATTGTTGGTAAGTGCTGTTGAGGGAATTCTGACTCACGGTGAACCTGTGAATAACATAATGAAAAACTGCCTGGCCCTTGCCATCTCCACAATCCCTCCTATTTGTGAGCAATAAAAGAGGACGACCCTCAATGAGAAAATTGATGCAGTAGCTACAAGAATGGGCTCAAACACATGAAAGACATTCTTTAGTGTTCTTATCATATCCCCTCTTGAATAAGGGGTGGGTGGGGTTGGGGTGGACATACTACTGGCTGTTTACACAGTTGCTGATCGTGGTATAATAGCCAGTTCTCCACTTTGACTAAACATCCCTGTTGCCTCAGTGATTAAGAGATGGCTGCTAACTGGGAGATTGGTAAACCACTAGCCATTTCATGGGATAAAATGCCTGTCATTATCTTCTCAGAGAGATTACAGTCTCTGTAATTACTACGCTGGAGTCATTTTACCCTGCCCTGGTGGGGTAGTCATTATGTGTTGGGCTGTACTGGCAAGGTCAGCAGTTCACAACCAGCAGACCCTCTGAGAGAGAAAGACAGGGCTGTCTATTCCCATAAAGAGTTACAGTCTTGAGTCCCCAATAAAATGATTAAAAAATAAATCAATAAGGAGTTCCAGTCTTGGAAACCCACGGAGGCATTTCTACTCTGTCCCGTTAAGGTTGCTGTGAGTTGGCATCAGCTTGTTGGCTGTGAGCTTGGTTTGGGTTATAAGGTCACTGTGTGTTAGAATGGCCTTGATGACAGACAACATCCACCACCGCTTTGGCTGAGCATTAGATCCACTTGGGAATTTCCATAAATCTTAATGCTTAGGCCACAATCTCCATCAATTAATTCAGATTTGTTCAGGTAGAACCCAAGCATCGTATATTTTTACAACTCCCTAGGTGTTTCAATGTCCAGCCTAGTTTCTGGATCACTAATTTAAGCAAATCTTTTAAATTTGTTTTTAAGTTAGTTGGTAAAACATAGCCTTACTTTTAGTATTTCTCTTTCAGGATATTATTGATAGACTTATAATTTTGAATTCTGAAGCCAAGATTCATTCATTATTTAACTATGAACAATCACATATCTTTGGACTAAGGTAAGATGCTAAATTTTATTTCAGATATTACATTTTCTGTATTGAAAATGCTTTTATACATATTTTATATATTTTAATACTATTTTAAATGGCCTATTTTTTAAAACCAGACTAAAGATAATTTGTCTTCCTCTAACATTATAGACAAAAATTGTAACCATTAAGTTTTTTAATGTTGCACAGTATTCCATTTGTCTAAGTACCAATGTTTATCTATTCTTCTACTGCCGAGTATTCAGATTTTCCATCTTTTCATTATTGTGAATAGTGCTGTGACGAATAAGGTGTGCATATTAACTGTTCATGTCATAGTACATACTTCTCAAGAATATATACCAAATAGAGGCATTGCTAGGTCATATGGTATTTCTAATCCCAGCTTTTGGTGAAGTGGTACCCTGTTTTCCATGTTCCACTAATTGACAGTTCTGCCAGCAGTGTATGAGGATTCTACCCTCTCCCCGTGCTCAGTCGTCATTTGTTGTTTGAATGCTGGGATAAGTGGTATCTCATTGCCATTTTGATTTTCATCTCTGGAGTGCATGTCTATATGTATATTGGCTGCCTGAATGTCTTCTTGGATGATGTGTCTGTGTATGTCCTTTGCCCATGTTTTAATTGGGTTGTTTGTCTTTTTTTTATTGAAGTGTGGAAGTCTGTTCTGTTAACAAAGTAATGTTTTCCGTTTACAAAGGAATTAATTCACTATTTGTGTGTTTTAAGGCATATTTTATTGTATTTTTGTAAAAGTTTATACAACAAATTAGGTTCTCATATGAGAATTTCTACACAAGTTGTTTAATGATATTAGTTATATTTTCCACAATGTCTCAACATTTTCATTAATTGTATTCTGGTTGTTTTGTTGTATTTTGCAGCTTATTTTCATAACAATCTTTAAAAGTTTGATGTCCACTCATATTTTTAATCTATAGATATTAGCTTAGATAATTTACTTTCGGCGTTCTACTAATTTCTATCTATCATTGTTTATTGGGGTCCAATTATTTGTGTAAGAACCTAATGGTATATAAATCTTGTATTTTTGTGTGATTTGAAGTTTTACTAATAACTTCCTTTTCTACTCCCAAGGTACTTAAAAATCAATTTTAACTTTATTATTGTGGCAATAATTTATTTTATAATTAGTACCAAAGTGGTCCTAAAAAGATAGAGATTGAAGATGTCCTAAATGCCCAACTCTTCCAAGTTGATTCCATTACCCTGCCCAATTCTCCCCGAGTATATTCCCTTGAATTCCTACACTCTACAAGCCTCTCACAGAAACTCACTTGGTGTGGATGCTATTAAATCCCCAAACCAAAGTTCAGGCATAGCTTGAGCCAAATGCAGGGCCCAGAGGCAGAAGTCAAAAGTAACTCAAAGTCAAAGCAGAAATTCTTTTTTTTTAATTAAATACTTTTATTGGGGGATCTTACATCTCTTATCACAATCCATACATTCATCCAGTGTGTCAAGCTCATTTGTACATACGCTGCCATCATCATTTCAAAGCATTTTCTTTCTACGTGAGCCCTTGGTATCAGCTCCTCATTCCACCCCCACCCCTCTGGCCTCCCTCCTTCATGAACCTTTGATAAGTTACAGATTATTGTTTCCATATCTTACATCATCTTTTGTCACCCTTCACCCACTTTTCTGTTGTTTATCCCCCTGGGAGGGGGTTATATGTTGATCCTTGTGATCGATTCCCTCTTTCTTACCCCACCTTCCCCTTGTCCTCCTGGTATCTCTATTCTCATTGTTGGTTCTGAAGTATTTATCTATCCTGGATTCCCTGTGTTTCGGGCTCTTATTTGTAGCAGTGTACATGTTCTGGTTGAGGTCATGATATTGGGGGCGAGGAAGCATTAAAGACCTAAACGAAAGTGGTATGTTTCATCGGTGCTTTATTGCACCCTGACTGGCTCATCTCTTCCTTGTGACCCCTCTGTAAGGGTATGTCCAGTTGTCCACAGATGGGTCTTGAGTCTCCACTCCATCCCCACCCCCCAATTCACATTAGTATGATGTTGTTTTGGGTCTTAGATACCTGATCCCTGATCCCATCAACACCTCATGATCACACAGGCTGGTGTGCTTCTTCCATGTGCGCTTCATTGCTTCTCAGCTAGATAACCGCGTGTTTATCTTCAAGCCTTTAAGACCCCAGATGCAAAGCAGAAATTCTTACCTCTACCAAGCTCAGTCAGAAAACCAAGGTCACAAAAAAGGAGGCTTTGCACTGGAGATCCTCTTGCAGACGGTTCTTGGGGAGTAGACGAGCCAGACAGGGTGTGTTGTAGCAACAGTGAAAAATACAACTTTCCTTAGTTTCTAAATGCTTCCTCCCTCCCCCCCCTATCATGATCCGAATTCTACCTTGCAAGTCTGGCTAGACCAGAGGATGTACACTGTTACAGATAGGAACTGGAAACACAGGGAATCCAGGGCGGATGATCCCTTCAGGACCAGTGGTATGAGTGGCGATACTGGGAGGGTTGAGGGACAATGGGTTGGAAAGAGGGAACCGATTACAAGGATCTACATGTGACCTCCTCCCTGGGGGACAGACAACAGAAAAGTGGGTGAAGGGAGATGTCGGACAGGGCAGGATATGACAAAATAAACATTTATAAATTATCAAGGGCTCATGAGGGAGAGGGGAGCGGGGAGGGAGGGGGAAAATGAGGACCTGATGCCGGGGCTTAAGTGGAGAGCAAATGTTTTGAGAATGACGAGGGCAATGAATGTACAAATGTGCTTTACACAATTGATGTATGTATGGATTGTGATAAGAGTCATATGAGCCCCTAATAAAATGATTTTTAAAAAAAAGGAGGCTTTGGTAGAGATTTAAAAAAATTATTATTATTTCAGTGGACCTTACTCCCAGGAAAAACAAAGGATCTTGACTTAAGTCGTACTTTCCTGTAAAGTTGGGTGTAAGATGCATCCCGATCTTGTAACAGAACTCCCTCTAAAATCATTCACAAGCACAGAGGCTAGAGTCTGCAGTGCATTAGAAAATGGATAATGGCAGTGAGTAGATGGCTTGAAGGGCCATATTAAGTCAAGGACTACAACTCAATTATGCCATTCTCTTCATGTCACCTAATTTATCTATTGATTCTCACTCTTTTTGTTGTTGCTGTTCCATTTAATTTAGTTTTTCCTCTACTTCCCCCCCAAAAAACAACAAACAGCATTTAAAAAGTTTACTGCACCTTCTTTAAGCTTGTCACAACAATTAGATGAAGCTATGAGGCTTAGTTAAATGGAAATTTTCACTTTTTAATATTACATTTAAAATTCTGAATTTTTATTTGTTAAAATAGTCATACAAATCTTACGGTATCAATAACTAAGAAAGTTGTCAGTTTAATTTGTTCTTCACTGGTTTTCTTCCTCATTTTCCATTGTGTCATTCCTATCGACTATGCTTTTATATATTTCATGATACAGTGAAATAGAATATAACACACAGAAAGAATGACTCTTGATCTTTCAGCCCCCTCCAGCCACTGTCCTATTGCTCTACCTTTCACCGCAGCAAAAATTAATTCAAGCTGTCGCCACTTGCTCTCACCATTTACTCTTTAGACCACTTGATTTGACTTTTATTCCACCACTCTTTTAAAACTGCTCATCTGTTCATTCCAAAGTTAATGATAACATCCATGCTTATAAATAAATCTAGTGCACTCTTCTCTTTTTAATCCTTCTCTTGCTATTTACTATCAATATTACTTGATATCATAGATAATTTCTTTCTGCATAGAAATTTCCTTTGCTACTGTGGTGCCACACATTCCTGTGACTGCAGTTTTTTTTCTTTTAAATTACTTAATTTTTACTTGGGAGTTAACACATATATCATAGTTTTATAGTTCTTTCACGTCAAGCAGTATTACACAATTGCTATCACAATCAAGTTTCCCAACATTCCTTTCATTCCTGGACACCTTGACATCATTTCCCTTTTTATTGCAGTTTCTTTTGCTTTGAATCATCTAAGCACTTTTTAAATGTTGGAATATGAAGGGGCTTAAAAAAGTTCATGGAAAATGCAATTAATGGATCATGGAAATTTTAAATGAAGTTTTTGAAGCCCCCATTTGCTTTTGGACTTTAAATCCTATCTATATTACAGTGGATCATAGCAAACTGTGGATAACATTATGAAGAATGGGAATTCCAGGAAAATTATTGTGCTTATGTAGATCTTGAATATGGATTGATAGGCAGTTATTTGAACTGAATAAGGGGACACTATGGGGTTCCAGGAAGTCCTAGTGGAGTAGTGGCTGCATGTGGGTCTGTCAACCAAAAGGTTAGCAGTTTGAAACTACCAGATCCTTTATGAGAAAGATGAGGCTTTCTGCTCCCATAAAGGGAATTTCAGAAACCCATAGGGGTAGTTCTATATGCTCCGTAGGGTTGACAGGCTTGGAATTGACTCCGTGGTGGTACATTTGGTTTGATTTTTTGGTGTACTTTCAAATCACACCACCTATGCAGCAGGGTGTTATACTTTCCCTCTCCTCGTTTAAACTTCGTGCAAACAAATTATCTGAGAAACTAGCCTATATAAAGAACCGAGCATCCATCAGCATTGGAAGAAGAGTCATTATCAACTTGCTCTATGGAGATATTATAGCCTTGCTTGCCAAAAACGAAGTCAGCATATTGATAGGGTTCAGACATCCCAGCCTTCAGTGTGGATTATCCCCGAAAGTGAAGGAAACAAAAGTCCTCACAACTGGCTGGTAAGAAATTATCGTGGTAAGTGGGGGGTGTCGGGGTGGGGGAATCATTCTACTTGGATCAAAAATAAACATTCCATGAAGCAGCAAAATATTTTATGATGTACTGTATTGGACACATCTACAGCAAAGGGCATTTCAAAGTTTAGTAAAGCAGAGATGTCACACTGATGTCCAAATATGCCTAACCCAATTGCCTTTAGGAATGAGAGTGAGGAAGGAAGAAAGAAGAAC